TATAGGCACGTAAAATTTTTTTATTCTTTTCATATGTTTTTGTTTAATTTTTGTTTTTAAAAATAAAGCATCTTTTTTAATAAATATTTAAATTGTTTTAAGTGTTTTTAAAAATAATTTAGTTTATATTCATCCCATCAAACATCTTTTGCTCCAAATTAAAATTTTAAAAAAACAAGAATAGAAAATAAAAAACAAAAAAAGATCTCAAACAACCTCTTAGGAATGATAAATTGATGTTTTAGTATTGTATTAAGATCCAACATATATATAATAAAAAAGTAACATAAGAAGATTCCATATTTTTTCAAGTGGCGAAGCCTGAAGAAGAAAAAATTCAAAAGACATAGCTCAATCAAAATAATCTACTATAAGCACAAAAGTTCACTTTTTTATCACATTTGGGAGACTATGGTTACAATTTTACATTACATGCATCATTTATTTGCATACAATAGATAGAAAACTTCAGTAATTTGGAAAGAATCGTCGTATTCTAAATTCGGAGGTCATAAGCAGTGGTCATCGGAAGTCATCATCGGATTTTCAATATCGTATAAATCATCGTCGAATCTTCAATATAGTGTTATATGTTTTAGTTATATTTCAGATACGATGATAGTATGTAGGGGTTGTCAATGGCGACGAGCAGAAGATTGGTGGTGGTTGGTGGCGGCTGACGGCTATGAAGTCTGGAAGTTATCAACGGGTCTTCAATACGATGTTGCACGCTGTGACTGTATTTGAGATTTATGTTAGCAAGCATGGGTCGCTGACAATGGAGAGCAGGGGCGGCCGACGACTAACGAGCAATGGTCGATGACTACGGAGGCCGGAAGTTATTGGCGGGTCTTCAGTCCAAAACATGCTCTGATATTCCTTCTCTTCTTCTCCATTCTCAAGTGAAGAGAGATAATATATTTATAGTTTCTAAGGGAGGAACATTTTAGGGTCTGTTTGGCGTAGCTGCAGCTTCTCAGTTTTTCAGTTGCAGATGCGCTGCCCCAGGAAGCTGCTGTGGGGAAGCTGTTGCGGAAAAGCTGGCTGGTTGTTTGTTGTAGCTATGTGAAACAGCTGTGGGGCAGCTGTTTCTGAAAAAATGACTATTCTGCCCCTGTTTAGTACAACATCGTATTGGCGAATAACTCCTCTAACCACTTGATCAAACGACCCAAACGATCCTTCTTGATCATAATGATTTTTTGAATGATTTAAGGGTCTCAATGACGTCAGATCTTGTGATTTTTGGATTTCTCTTGTCAAGACACTTGATTTAACTATATTTATGTCAATTTTGGAGTTCATTTGATAATTAATTAATGATTTAAAGCCTTCAAATGCGCTTTAATGATTAGATTTGAACTTTATTGAGCTCGAACTTAGCTAATTTTGAAATAATTTGGTTCGTCTTGTTCAGAATGTTAGTTTGACTATAAAATTGCTAAAATCATTGCTCTGAACGTTCTTTAATTTGAATTTGAAATATTTCCTACAAAAGATACTTCAAACTTTGTGTCCAATGATGTAATTTCTTGATGACACATCAATGATCATACTTGAAAATATCATCCTGAGGAACTGCAATAATCCTTTTCACGTAGAGCTTCTTAAATTATCTCTAACAAATACCATTAACTACTCAGCTATCTCTACAATTAATATATATTATTCTACTGTACGTTATTTTATATATTATTTCCATCTTCTCACAGAGTAATTTTATTTTTCATGCATAATTATAAATATAAGCATCAATCATTATAGCTTAAATATGTAAATACATAATAAATCCATGGAATATCTGTAAATTTTCCAAAAATAGTTTTACGATTAATTTAAAATACGATTAAGAAAATAGTTCAAAATCAAAATTAATCCAGAAAAAAAAAACTAATTAAAAGTTCTACGCCAACTGCTAATTTAGTTAATATTTGTTCGTAATCATAATTTTATAAGACTAAATTATTAAATTATTATTATTATTATTTTTAAATAGCTGGGGATGGGAAGCGCGCTCGAAACATTATGCGGGCAAGCTTATGGCGCAGGGCAAGTGGAGAAACTGGGCGTGTATATGCAGCGGTCATGGATCATCCTCCTCGCATCAGCCCTCCTCCTCTGCCCTCTCTACATTTTCGCCACCCCCATCCTCAGACTCATCGGCCAGCAAGAAGACATTGCCGTCGCCGCCGGCCGCTTTAGCATCGCCATCATACCCCAAATCTTCGCACAAGCCATCAACTTCCCCACCCAGAAGTTCCTCCAAGCTCAGAGCAAGGTCGGAATCCTCGCTTGGATCAGCTTCGTAGCCGTCCTCCTCCACGTCGCCCTCCTCACCCTATTCCTCTTAGTTTTCAAATGGGGCATTAACGGCGCCGCCGCCGCCTTTAACATCTCGCAGTGGATGGTCACCATCTCCCAAGTCGTCTATGTCATGGGATGGTGCAGGGATGGATGGACTGGCTTCTCCCTGGCGGCTTTTAGGGATTTGTGGGGTTTCGTCAAGCTCTCCCTCGCCTCCGCTGTTATGCTTTGTCTCGAGATTTGGTACATGATGGTTCTCGTTGTGCTCACGGGGCATCTCAAGAACGCTGAGATTGCCATCGGCTCCATTTCTATCTGGTAAGGGCTTCATCGTTTTTTGGGAATTACTAGCTTCTTATGCAAAATTAGGCATCCCTAGAGAATGAATTTCTTGTTTTGTTCGTTTGCTTTCATTTTGTGCTTACAAATGGATGAAACTTCTGTAAAAAAATTATTATTTTTTAGATTGTATGCCTGATTTTATCTTCTTTTATCCCTTGAATGCGCTGCAGCATGAACATAAATGGATGGGAAGGGATGATATTCATAGGCATCTATGCGGCCATAAGGTAATGTTTCACTTTAAATTGGGCAAGTTTTCTTTAGATGTCATTATACTGTGCTTTTAGAATTACAACAAGAGCAAAATATTTAGAGGCCAGCTAGTTTTGGTTGATTGATATCAGAATTGTACTGAAATTTACATAATAATCCTTTTATATATTTGTTAGTAATGAATTTCACAAAATCAAGCAGTTAATCTCTTAAGAACATGACATTATCTTGGAATGTGATAAGGTATTGAGAATATGAGCTGATTAGTTTGTATTTATGCTAATAAATATAGCTAATTAGATTGAAATTAGTGTTAGCGAATTAATAGTTCTTGTATTCAATAAATAGTCCCATTGGAGATATGGAAGAAATGCATGGAAAAATTGTAGCAAGTTCTTCCCTATTTTGTGTTATCTTTTTTTCTTCCCTTCTCTACTTTCTTGAGTTGTTTAGCATGATCGAATTGCCGATAATCAAGATCTAAGCAATTGTTAAACAAAAAACACCAAAAGTTGAACGGGGGAGGATCAGAGAAGAGAAACACAGATAAAGAATGATAAACAACAATTCCAAAAATAGTAAAAGAACATAATATATTTTTTTGATTCAGTTCTTCAATATCTCAAATGGGAACTACTTTGAGAATGCATGAAGTGTTAATTCGCCCACACTAATTTCAAACTAATTTGTTGAGAAAATTAGGGCGAAGAAAAACAAGAATCAACATAAATCCAGAAGAACACAGAGATTTAACGAGATTCGGCAAAGATGCCTACATCCTCGGGAGCAGAGCAGCGTATTCCTTTTCAATATTCAGAAAAGAGGTTACAGAATAGAAGATCCAACTCTCTCAAAGACCTAGAATTACAAACATGTCTATTTATAATTCTAGAGTAAACCCTACAGTACAATATGTAATTACCAAATTACCCCTGTACCGTATAGCGGGGCGTTGACCCAGCACCCCCAACCCACATAACGTAACTTCCCGATTTAGACAGATTCTTCCGCTTCGCTCCGCTCTGCTCCGCTTCGTTCCAGCGTCTGTCTCTATATAGTATATGAGCCATACCATAACAAATCTCCACCTTGGCGAATATCCAGCCCCTTAGGAGAAAAGATACCTGGGAGTTACACTTGCACCAATGTGGGTTGGGCCACCATGTTTCTGCTGCGCTCACGCTGATCTCAACCCACTAAATTCCAAGAGACACACCTCTTTAATTCCAAGAGACATCTCTTCATTCCAAGAGACACCAAATTCTGGTATTATGAGTCATATCTAACAATTCTCCACCTTGGCGAATATCTAGCCCTTTAGGAGAAAATCTCCACATTGCGAATATTCAATCCCTTAGGAGAAAAATCTCCACCTTGCGAATATCCCGTCCTTTAGGAGAAAATCTCCACCTTGCGAATATCCAGCCCCTTAGGAGAAATATCTCCACCTTGCGAACATCCTGCCCCTTAGGAGAAAATCTCCACCTTGCGAATATCCAACACCTTAGGAGAAAAATATCATGGAGTTTCTTATGCACAAATGTGGGTTGAAGCACTTTTCTTGTTTGCGCCAGCACCTCGGTTAAACTGCTGTCTCGTGAGCGAAACCCTTCGCGAAATACCTCTGCGAAACAACTATTCGCGAATAATCGCGTCTACTCGCTCGCCAGCACCCTACCGAACTCCACC